AATATATTTTGGATGAAATATTTATTACTTCTATTGTTTGATATGTCAGATAAACTCAAACAAAAACAAAATGTGTTTGTGAAAAACAGATGCCCCCGTATGGCAACATAGCGAAGATTAAATTTTTCTTTAATGCAAATTTAATATATTGGTACCAAAAGTAGGGTATTTTCACTGGAAATACAATTGTGGTTGTATATTGTTTAACGCAGAGTCGGCCATTTTTCAGCCATATTTCGGCGGACGGAAATACTAAAATAAGCCAAGATTAAAGATTTTTTCATAAGTACGGAAATCTCCAAGGTCAAAAAATCAAGGTCATTGGTATCCAATGAAGGTCTTGCCACAAAAAATATATATGTGAAGTATGGAAGCTTTAATCATTATCCATCAGAAGTTATGACCAAGGTTAAAAATTTCAAAAAGCAGGTCAAAGGTCTTGCCATCAGATGAAAGGTCTTGTCACAAGGATTAAATATGTAAAGTATGAAAGCATTAGATCTAAACTTTAAAAGTTATGGTCAAGGTTTGCTTTTTAAAAGTAGGTCAAACTCCAAGGTCAAGGTCAAAGGGTCAAAATTCTTGGTATCCAATGAAGAGACCTCTAACAAGAATTACATATGTGAAGTATGAAAGCCCTATCCCTTACAATTTAAAAGTTATGGTCAAGGTTAAATTTTTAAAGTTTTAAAATCACCAAAGTCAAGGTCAAAAGATCAAGGTTGTTGGTATCCAATGAAAGGTCCTCCCAGAAAAAATGCATATGTGAAGTATAATGACCTTGTATCTATCATTCTAAAGATATGGTGAAAAGAAATGTTTTGGAATTTTTGTGTAAAAGTGGGTCAAACTCCAAGGTCAAAGGTCAAATTTGGTGGTACCCAAAGAAAGGTCTTATCACAAGGAATACACATGTGAAATATGAAATTCATAGCTCCATTGATTTAAAGTTATGGGCAAGGTTAAAGGACAAACAGACACTCTCTAGCAATATTAGAAAACTGAATGTATAATGGGGATGAAGAAAGGTCATTGTTTTGACCATAAGACATGCAAAATGATGACTTTAAACAAGGCTGTTGATACCATTGTTTCTCGAACTTATTTGTCGATAGCTTGTACCTTTGACGAAATTATCCGTATGTCGAACATGCTCTTGAGTATCGAATAAAGAATCAGTCATAAACCTTATATACAGCTTATAAAGGTATATTGCTACAAAAATATTTTTGACTCATAAAGAATTTTCCTTTTTTTAACTCTTTACTAAGATATTGATAGCAATGAAGGAAAAACTTCAAGAGACTTTGCAACAATATATTTAAGAACTTTTGTACAATTTGAAATTACAAGATGTAACCAAAATCAACAGCTTAAAAATTTACGACTCTTCAACTTATACACAGCCTTAAAGTACAAGATTTTTTAAATCATTGACAGCTGCTTTTTCAATAAAAATGAAATTCGTAAATTTACCTACCTGGTCATTAGTCATTTGCAAAATTACTTTGTTAAAACACATTTTGATTGCAAACACAAGTACTCTGAAGTTGACCTCGAGAAGATGCTTATGTTTCTGATTGACAATATCTATGTGGTTTTTGGAGATCTGGTCTTCCAACAATATATTGGAATTCCCATGGGTACCAATTGCGCTCCTATTAGCAGACCTGTTTTTGTATTCATATGAAGCAGAATTTGTGCAAAATCTTATGCGTGATTAGAGGAAAACACGTGAGGTGGCCTTCAACTCGACATTTAGATATATCTATGAAGTAATTGTCAATTAACAATGGTAATTTCCATTTCTATGTCGATACGACATATCCTAGTGAGAATCCACAAGGTCTGACACACTCTGTTTCATAATTGGATATTTCACTTGAAAAAGACGTTAATTGTAATCTAACAACCAAGCTCTACGTGATGACTTTAACTTTTGTATCGTCAACTTCCCTTACTTCTGCAGCAATATATGTTCATCGGCTGCGTACGGAGTTTATATATCTCTGTTGATTCGATATGCAAGAGTATGCTCTACGTATGAACAATTTCTAAACGAGGGCAATCATTTACAAACAAGTTGTTGAAACAAATATATCAGCAGTTCTTTTAAACTAAAACTTATCATTTCGTAAGTTTTATGGTCGATACAATGAACTTGTCAGCAAATACAATTTATCATTGAGTCTAATGCTGACTGACATTTTTCATACTAATTGTTTATTCATTATTTATACACTGAATTGCCGGCAGATTTTTCCGTTATTTCCCGATCATGACAAGAAAGACACGGCAGATGTGACCGCTCGGCAGAGGATGCTCACTCCTCCATGACACCTGATCCCATCTATGATGTTTTGGAGGTCCGTGTTTGCTCTTCTCCTATTTTTGTTGTTTTATGGACTTTGATATTGAATATTGTTTGTTCTCTGTATATCCAATATCTTTCAGGTCTAACAAACGACTAAAACTTTAACTTATAATCATACTGATTTGTTCCAATATGAATTATTTGATTCTGATTTTTAAAATTGAAATATATCTATAATGCTTTCGTGGACTTTAGGAAAATGTAAAGTATTGGTTACAAAGTTTATTAGATATAAAGAAATTAACAAAAAAGGCATATGCTCCCTAAGAATTTTTGGTCTTTATTTGGTAATTGTTTTCATTCCAATTATTGTAATCAAGTCCATTTTTATAAAATGTTTTAAAAATATTTGTATTTCTGCCATTTTACACGACATGAAACATTTAGAGGAATACCAGAATGACGTGTAAATGATTGTTTAATGAACGTCATTTGCCAACCTATAGAAATTTTTCCTGCAGAAAATGCAGTACGGTAGATATTTTACGAGGGTAAACTTTAATCATTAAAATGTAACTTAAGGGTATTCCTCTATTTAATAAAGGATTGACCAGAGCAGACATCTGCTTTAATCTCTCCCACCCTGGCGCGGAGCCTCGTTATCAAAACTCAGGGTCAGACAGGTGCTTGCTCTGTTTGAAAGGATGCAGGCATGTGATAAAAGATAATTACAAAAAAAATTACATCTTGAGGTGATGAAACTGAATAGAATCCCAAAAGTTTTTCTCAACATGCTAAGACTGCAGTGAATTTTATACATGTATGCATCAAAAAGCTGTAATGACTTTATCAGATTGGATAAATGAATTGTCGTTTATTTCCAACAGCGTTTTCTATGAGAACAAATCGTATACGTGTATGAATGAAGCATTGTTAAGAGTATTTTGATCTTGGCCAACATGTTACAGAAATTACGAATACATGTATATTCTTATTATAGTTTGATATTTAATTAGAAAAATCAAATTTTAGTCAGAAATTCAATATCTCCCAGGCAGTCACTGTTTTAGAAAAGTTAGATATTCCGCAATTTTTTTTTTCTTTTTGGATCTTAGCCTTGGTATCTAACATATGTGCAATCTTTATCTTGGACAAATACAAGACTTTTATAGTCGTGCATCAAATGTTTGAAATATGTTCACAGCAATTGCCGTTTCGGATTATTTTTACATACGTTTTAATAATCTGTCATATTGAAATGGAAAAGATCAATATTGTATAATATGATACTGTGCGTTAGTTATGGCTGACAAAAACTGTGTATGATTCGACACAGATCTTCAATATACTTTTCGCTGGCTAAGCATATGTAACATTTCCATACACTAATAATATTTTCAATGAAGTGACATTTACGAAAAAAGTTTTTGATATACTTACCATCTAACGATCTGGCAAAAAAAATGTTACAGGTGGAAATCTTGGCACATTTAATCAGAAAGAAGAAAAAAGTCCTTCATAAATAGATGAAGTTTAGAATGAGTGCCAAAGCAGAGAGTTAGACATGAGTATAATCTTGATGTTTGTGAAATGCATATTAAATATCGATTTTCTGTCGGAGAATTTTGATTAACAATGCAGTTATGAGACTGATTAATCTAGCTTTCTCTACGACTTCTTCTTAAATGAATTGGAAAGCGATTCTTTTATATATGTTATGGAGGAAATATTTGCCTCCTAAGTTATTGAAGGACAGATTAAATGGAATCCATCCCAGAAATAAACTTGTAAAAGCGATGTGTTCCTTTTTTTGTATGTTTGTATAACTACATATAATATCTCAAGAAGATATGATAAAATAATCGATCAGAGGATGAGACAAGATGTTCAAAAATAAGATTTACGAAGGTTTGGATAGGTGCGTGACTTCTGTTAAAGATAAGAAACCTATCTCTAAATAACTTTTCCTCTTGTTTCTTTTAAGATAAGTTTAAACCAAGTTAAAATTTGTACACTTCATCTGATTTATGCTTTTTTTCAGATAAGCTTCTTTTTTAAAAATTTTGCATGATTTTTCCTGAATGTTGATATTAAATAATCTGAATTTTAAGAAAATCTAATACAACATCAAAAAGAAACCAAAACATGCATGGTGTTCTATGAGTAATCTTGGTTTATAGTATACCAATCTTTACGCTGTTCGTTTAAGCATGTCTGTTGCATCATCACAGACATTACGTACGGTATTATCAAAGTCAAGCTGCACCTTAAGTTTAATTAAAGCACTGATAAATTAACTGAATTTTACATATAAATAGGTTTCAAGGATTGTTCAGAAATGTTAAGGACAGATTAAACAAGAAAGGGACAAAATTTGTTTACATCGACAACATCTGTAGATAGGTCCTCTGTGACATGGTGACTGGTGAAGGATAGTGGGAAAACGAAAGGAATATGAAGGCATTCCCCGTTATTGTATATATATCATATATGTAACTCTTTCAAACGTCATAATCAGCTGCTGAAATTAGGGAAGATATTATATGTGTTTATGTGCTGTTATTTATAGATATAGATTCTTCAAACCCAAGCATAGGGATAGTCACCCATAATCATCTAGCCAGGTGTTACATGTATTATAAGAGTAGTAGATAGTGATTGTTTTTATGCTACTTTGAGGTGCAAATTGATTTGAGGTGGAGAGGTGGGCTTTAAAGGCGGAAGTATAAAGTAAATCCGGATGCTAGTAATGACTATATGTAATTATAGGGAAGCAAACCCGGATGATTTTTTTCACTGATGATTAGCTAATACACAAACGTTAAGACCTATGAATGTATTGTATTTATTTTTAATGTTTTGACGACTTGAAACTTACGATGTCAATAGTGAATTAAGATCCTACACTGTGTCCATTTTTGAAATAAGACGTATATTTACTGTTTTTGTTCACCATTGTAGTTTTGATAAGAACGGTGAATGTCCGGTACATACAAATGAAACGAGACACAAGTTTTATAACCTTGAAAGATGTTAAAGAAGGTGAAATGAAACCTAATTCTTCAAAAACTAGTCATTTGATAAATTTAAAAAAAAAAAATAAAAAGAGACACAGAGAAGTGGGAATGGGAGCGATATTAAACAACACTATAAGCAATCGCTGATTGATTTGATCCTGTCATCATGAGAGATACAATAATCTGACAAATTGACTATTTTTAAATCTATGTTCTTGTGAAATTAAATTGGGAAAACTCGCGGACGATAAACGACGAGACTTTAACAATGGACTGTAGTAAAGGACAAATAACATTACAATGGGACAAAGCGAACGTCAAATGAGAATTGACTTCATTCATAAATGTGTAATTTTTTTAAATATTGAAATATGTCTAAGGATTTGTATTTACAAACAAATTTCCTGTACTCAGATCCGTTGTTATTTTCCGAAGTAAAGATATCCCGGTATTGCATTATACAATGTAACGTATTACACAAACAAGGATATGTTAACTGTCAATATCCGTTAATAATGATATATACCTGTAATTCAAAGTATTAATTGAGCAGAAACACATAAGAAGAGATACTATTGATACAGTATTCCTTTGGTTATATATATATATAACGAATGTGAAAATATGTTGAAACGAATTCGGAAAACGAATGTTATTGACAAATTTTAGCGATGGAGCATCCTTGTCCTCACTGCAACAAGACGTTTAGCAGTGAATTTGCAAGAAAACGTCATTTGAACATACATTCAAACAATGTGAAATTGAAATGTAATTTTTGTGGAAGAGAAATAAATCGGAAAGACAATTTCGAACGTCATTTGAAGACATGTGAAAAGAGTAAAACGTGTTCCCATTGCGAGAAATGTTTCAAAACATCGATTCAACGACGTATCCATATACTTAAAGAACACAGGGATGAGTTGTTGAAATGTGAAAGGTGCAAAAAAGAATACTTTTCTAAAAAGACTCTTCAGCAACATCTAGCAAGATGCCAGGTAAGAATTATTAATTTTACAAAAATCAAACATTTTGACAAGTGTCAAGAACAATTCTATCTGACAATTGTGACTATAATTTTGATAAATAAATAATTAGATAAGTAAAAAAAAATTCATTTTACTAACATAAATTTTATATGTTTAGAAATAAATATATTCAATTTATATATACCAGTAAATGAAATCAGACAAACGATCGGAGAAAAAAAACTAAAGCAAACACAATATTCTTAAACATGTACGTCTAGAATTTTGAATATAACCCCGTTTTCTTTCCAAAGTAAATACTATTCATGTAAAAAAAAAATTATTTAACAGAAATATCAAGATATTCCAAGACCCTGTGCCAGATCTGATGATATTCAACATGAGGTATTTATTAAGTTAAAATATCAATCTATTTGTAATTAAGGTAAATAATTTCAAATAAATCATTGTGCTTGTATAAGAAAACCGATTATGAAAATTTTTTTCGAAACCAATCGAAATTTACAGTGTACATTGATTTTTTTTTAACAGAATAATCAAGATATTCCCGGACCTAGTTACAGATATAATGAAATTCAAAACGAGGTATCTATTAAGTTTTTGAAAATCTTTCGATTTTAAATATATATATATATATATATATATATATATATATATATATATATATATATATATATATATATATATAGCTGTTATGCTTATACTCGTTAATATCAATTAGGATATTTTTTTCGAAACAAATTGAAATATTAAATTTAATTTGTTTTTGTACAGAAAAATTAAACTATTCTTGGATCTAGTAATTAATAGATCTTATGGAGTTCAACATGAGGTACTTATTAAGTTCAATGAAAATCAAAATAAGATATAATTATTTTCCAAATATTTCAGATAGGATACGTATTCATTATACTTTTGAAAAAAAAACTAGTTTCTGAGATTTACACATCACTTAATCTTTTATTACAGAACATCGGAAATGCACCAGAGCCCAATCAAAGGTCCGAAGAAAATCAAAATGCGGTATGCATTATTTTTTTTCCTTTTTAAACATATGAATAATGATTGTGAAGTAATTACCAATTTATTTGTATAGTTTATAACTTTCAGTGGAATTTCAATTTTTTTTATATTTCAGGAACCAATTGAACGATACACATACAGAACATGTCATCGCAGATTTGATTCGCGTCGAACTCTGTTTATTCACCAGATGAATGAACATTTTCAAGTGGGAGAAGGAGGATTACAGGCCAGACCATGGGGAAATGGATCCCCTCCTTGGGAAGAAGGTGGAATAGTTGATCACAGCCTGAAAGAAGCATATGAAAGTAATGCCCCAATTATATTACGGCGTCATCAAGAGGGGACTGTTTGTAGTATTTATAACTTTCCAATAGATAATCAGTTTTCTGTAGGGGAAATAATGCAAGCAGCCTACGAGATTTATGATCGACAAAATAGAGCTTTCAGATTGAATCTAGAATTTGGTCTCATATTAGTTAATACAGAAACAAGAGAATATAGATATTTTAAACCCCATCATAACAATGAAGTTTTTCAGAGACCCATTTACGTGTCACAGCGCAATCACTTAAATCGACTGCAGCAGCGAATGCAACGGTTTAATATTACGAATTACATATTACGCCAGCGCCCCGACACAAAATGGAAACCCTATTTAATAACCAATGTACGCATTGTCATATACCATTTGAATTTTGTTTTGGGAAATGCGGAAGTCATGTTACCTCCTCACATTAGTCAATCAAAATCTATTATCAAGCTGACAAAGGACCGGAAAGGTCAAATATATACAGATAATTTGTGTGCGTTCCGCTGTTTAGCGGCTCATCAAGGGTACTATCCTTCCGGTTTAGAATCTCGTACACATGTTTTATTTCAACAATGGGTCTCATTTCAAAATACTCATAAAAAAGAAGTGGATTCGAACCCCAAAACATTCCCGGGTATCACTTTGAACGAAATAGTTTATTTTGAAAAATGCTTCAAAATCAATGTAAATGTATTTTCATTGAACGAAAGTCAATCGGCGCTGTCCATTTACAAATCCTCATGTAAATTTTCAGACACTTTACACTTGAATCTGTACGAACATCATCTGTCATACATTTCTAATTTTAATTGTTATGCTCAAAAATTTCTGTGCAAAACTTGTCATCGTCACTTCAAATACCTCCACAACATGAAACGACATCAGCGTGTTTGCGCAGGGAAAACAAAGAGAAGATTTCAGGGAGGGTTTCATTATTCTCCAAGTACTGTATTTGACAAATTGGATCAATTCGGTATAAGTGTTCCCGAGAACGAAAGAATATACGAGTGGTTTTTAGTGTATGACTTTGAGTCCATGCTGGTTCCAATGAACACAGAAAGTTCTGGTTCTCAGCAATACACAGAAAACCACGTACCCATTTCTGTTAGCATCTGTTCTAACGTAGATGGGTACACTGAACCACATTGTATCATTGAACCAGATATCAACACTCTGGTCAAGAACATGGTTCAGTGCATGACAATGATTGCTAATAGGGCTGCTGAACTAGCAAAAGAAAAATTTGTCTACGTGTTCGAGGCTCTCGATGACCTTGTTTTCGACAATGTAGACGAGGATATGGCCGAGTACCTCGAACACGAAGACGATGTCAATAAAATGATTGAAGATGAAAAGAAAAGCATTGAAAAGTTGAAGGTGGAAATGGAAGAATATTGCGAGCAGATCATTTGTATCGGTTTCAATTCCGCCAAATACGACATCAATTTAATCAAAAGTTATCTAATCAAACATCTTGAGCTAGGTTCTACAAATGGCACATTCACCGTCAAGCGAAATAATGCTTATGCCTGCATAAGTACTCGTAGGTTTAAATTTTTAGATATTACACAGTATCTGAGTCCCGGCATCAATTATTCAGGGTTCTTGCGTGCTTTCGATGTACAAGAATGTAAAGGGTTTTTTCCCTACCAATTTCTAGACTCTGTTGAAAAATTAAATCACCCCGAACTTCCTCCACATGAAGCTTTTTATTCGTCTTTGAAAGATTCAAATATCACAAACGAAGAATATGCCTTTTGTCAAAGAGTTTGGGAGGAAAAAAATATGACATCATTTCGTGATTTTCTGGTGTGGTATAACAACTTCGACGTCAAACCTTTCGTGCAGGCGGTGACAAATCTACAGAAGTACTATTTCGAACGTCAAATTGATATTTTCAAATGTAGTATTTCGGTTCCCGGTCTAGCGCGCCGAATGTTGTTTGACAGTGGGAGAAAAGAGGGGGCCAGTTTTGCATTGATCGATCAAGCCAACGAAGACTTGTATGATACCATTAAGCAAAACATTATTGGCGGACCGAGTATCATATTTAATCGCCATCACGAGGTTGGAAAAACTTATATTCGAGGGAATTCCCAGAAACCTTGTGGTAAGATCATTGGCTTCGATGCTAATGCCCTGTATCTACACTGTATAGGGAAAGAAATGCCCGTGGGTTCTTTTGTGCGCCGTAAGGTAGACGACGGGTTTAAACCACAGAAACGCGATCGATACTCTCTAGCTTATGATTGGTTAGAGTGGCTGAACCACAGTGGTCAGTACAAGATTACACACAAATTGAATTCCGGAAAGGAAAAGAAAATAGGTCGCTTTCCGGTCGACGGTTATGACGAAGCTTCCAACACCGTGTTTCAGTTTCAAGGCTGTTACTGGCACGGCCACCGTTGTTGGTTAACGCGTCATGTTCAAGACGACAAGCTGATGAATAGTCGCGAAAAGAAAACTCGCAAAACAACTCTTTATCTTCAAAGGAAAGGTTATAAAGTAGTAGAAATGCGCGAATGCACTTTCCGAAATAACGTTCGGTTTAATTTGAAGTTGAAAAAATTCTCAAATTCGCGTAAACCTAATATGAGTCAAGGTTCTTTGTCTTCGGAAGACGTAATAGTTGCCGTGATGAGTGATAAGTTGTTTGGCATGGTCGAGTGCGACATTCGCGTGCCCGATACCTGGCAGGCTCATTTCAGTCATCCAACAATGACCCCTTATGAGTATTTCTCAGAAATGAGCCCTCTCTTTTGTACTACCGACATTCCCTTTGATGCGATAGGTCATCATATGCAAAATCATGCAAAGCGCTTCCACCTTTCTACAAAACCTAGGCGATTACTAGTCGGGGGAATGCGCGCGCGCCAATTATTTATTGCTACTCCATTACTGAAGTGGTATATAAGTCATGGTCTGGAAATCACAAAAATTTATCAAACCGTAGAATTTACACCACAGCGATGTTTTCGATCTTTCGTAAGCGACGTCAGTAATGCTCGGCGTCAAGGTGACGTAGATCCTTCTAAAGCTATTATCGCAGACACGCGAAAATTAGAAGGTAATAGTGCTTTTGGATCCACCATCATGGATCAAGAAAAATTTCAGATCGTCAAATATGTTCAAGGGGAAGGGAATGCCATGATGGAAATAAATGAACCCCAGTTTAAAAAATTAACGACTTTGATAGAAGACGAGGAATTGTACGAAATAGAAAGAAGTAAAAAGAAATTGAATTTGAACTTGCCCATTCAGATCGGTTACTTCATCTTGCAGTATGCAAAACTGCACATGTTACAATTCTACTATGATTTCATGGATAGATTTGTAGACCGTGCAGACTTTGAATACTGCGAGATGGACACCGACTCTGCCTACATGGCGATATCGGGTTCCACCTTTGAGTACGTGATTAAACCTGAACTACGACAGATTTACGATCACGGTCTCAACGGATATTGTACTAGCGCCCTAGAGATCGAGGCGGACTGCGACCAACATTGGTTTCCTCGCACTTGCTGTAAGGAACACGCAAAGTACGATCGCAGAACGCCTGGACTCTTTAAAATCGAGTATGAAGGGGACGAAATCATTGGTCTTTGTTCAAAGACTTATATAGTTTCAGATCGAAAGCAAGTGTCGTTTTCAAGCGCCGTGATAACGGCTAAGCGATTACTGAAACGAGCCAAGAAATATAAGTCGCTGAACAGGAGGGAAAATATCAGACAAAGAAATATCACCCATTGTAAATTTTCATGCAAAGGTGTTTCCAAGAAAAGATTAAAAGCACCCCTGACCACTTTTAGAAATGTTTTAAAAACTCAAAAACATGCTTCTGGGATAAATATGGGTTTTAAACTTTTCAATAACCAAATCTGTACTTATCGTCAAGTGAGGAATGGTTTTTCCTACTTTTACTGTAAAAGAAAAGTACTAGCAGACGGTGTGAGTACAGAACCATTAGATATAGAACTGTGTCCTTTAAAACCTAAAAAGATCGATGATATCGAAATTGATGACTTTGATTTAAATCTTATTCATCTTCTAGAAGAAGTCGAATAATAGAACTCACTTTTCAATAAACTATCAAACATGAGTGAATAAAATTGAAGTTTTAGACAATGGTTTAGGGAGGAATTCATTAATAGGTTTATTGTTGTTTATAATTTTGTTTATTTTTTTTTTTCAAATTACTCATAGATATATCATTCTATTATTAAAAGTATATCGCGTTACTTGTTGTATATAAGTAAGAGTTGCTCTCAATATTGTTTATTAAACTGTGTCCATCTCTCCTCAGACGTGAGTCAGGCACAGACCAAATACATTGTACATATTGTATATAGATTTATGAGAACAGATTATGTTACATCCCATAGTTGTAATCATATAAATGTTGACAAACAGAATTTGTATTGTCGTGTTTTTGTAGTTTATAAGTAATCTTTTATATTATTCAGTAAAAGTTTATAAGAAGCATTAATGTATTGGTGTTGTTTTTATAAGTATGGAAAGACCCAATAGCACTTCAACAGAATCTTGGAGGTTTCTAGGGAGTAAACTCCCGAAATCGGAAATAGTATATTTCTGTCAAATGACAGTGGTATATATCATCATAATCACTTCTATAGTTAATCTGTCATTAAAAAACGGCTCCTCTGAATTATGGATATCTTTGCTGAGTAGTGCCATAGGTTATGTCTTACCCAACCCGTCTTTAAAGGCTGATAAGATATAAGAACCCTGCTCTCTCGCAGAGGGATTAGAAGAATAAACAAGATGAGTATTCCTTTTCAACCTTGTTCGAGTATGTGTATTAGCGGACAAACAGGAAGCGGAAAGACAAGATTTGTATATCGGTTACTGACTCATTTAGATGAAATGTATGTTAAGGAACCTCCCAAAAGAATTTTATATTGTTACGGAATTCATCAGCCTTTATTTGACGAAATAGAGCAACATATTTTTAATTTGAAATTACATCACGGGATACGTTCTAATGAAACAATTCAAGATTTGACTTCCGATCGCCAGCATACATTAATAGTGTTAGACGATTTAATGCATCGAGTGGTACAGGATGTAGACATGGAACTTTTGTTTACACAGGGCTGTCATCATCGACGTCTCAGCGTCATTTTCATTACCCAAAATATTTTTCCAAGAGGCTCTAAATCTCGAACTATAGCCTTAAATACCTATTATTTAGTACTCATGAAAAACATGAGAAATGCCTCACAGATATCTGTGCTAGGCCGACAACTATACCCAGGACGCTCTAAATTATTAATAGACGCATACACTGATGCAACTAAACAAGCTTTTGGGTACCTCGTAGTTGATACGTCACCACAAGGCATCGACAAATATAGACTCCGAACCAACATCTTTCCGGAGGAAGAACCCGTAGTTTACACCAGTTTATAAGAATGCCCTTCCAAGTTTGTCTTGAAAATGGGTTCCTTGGTTAGAGACCAGAAATCCTTTTTAGAACTTTTACTACAAACATCCCCCGCACAAAGAAAGCTGTTACTGAGTTCTGTGACGAAACCACAATTACAAGTGTTGGGAGAAATAGCTGCGAACGTCATACATAGTGTCATTGTACTTAACCAAAGTGAGAAAAATATACTTAAAAAGCACAAATCATTTCTTCTAGTTTTGGGGGATAAGACGGCGTCGCGAAAAAGCAAGTTACTTCTCTTAAAAAGAAAACATCGGGTCGTTCCCGTTTTTCTAAAAATTGTAAAACCTTTCCTAAGAAGATGGTGGACGTAATGCAAAAATCTGTTTTGGTGCCATACGACAAATACCAACGTCTGCTGTCTCTCCAAGAGTCGCATCAGGAATATTTTAAACAAAATTCTACAGAAACACCCGAAAACAAGCCTGAAGAGATAACTAAAACTGATGAGTTAAAACAAGAGACAAATAACCAAAGCTCACAGACAGAGAATTTGGTGGATTTTGAAACTAAAGAGGATTTTTTGCGTACATCTCCTGAGCCTTTAATGAAAATACAGCCAGCACTCCAAAAGACTTCAAAAATCGCAAAAAAGATTTTGAAATCCGCAAAGAAACCTTATTCTCGATACAGACTTAATAAAACTTGGATTCAATTTTAAACCATATTCACTGTTCTATTATTAATCATCAATGCTGCATACTAATAAAGAATTATATATGAATTTTATTCTTTTGTTATCTATTCATCTGGATTTACTAGTAACTCTCTATTGTAGAAGATTATTCTAAAGAAATAACCCAATTTCGTATGTGAATTTTATTAAATGATAATAACTAATAATTTCAGTCAAATCTGTGTTTTATCGTTACTTAGTATGAAATCTACTTGAAGGTTTCTGTTAGCAGCAATTAAGACACAAAATAATTCTTTTATGTTTAATTTTTATTAAAATATTTAATACCTAGTATTAATGTCAAATTAAAAAAAAATCAACGTAAAAGGAAAATTGTTCGTATAATTTTATTGATGTAATTGTTTTACATAGTCAGAGACCAAACGGTCGTTTTCATGCAAATGTGATACACTAAAATCATGCATAATATTTTTCATAGAAAATCCCACATTTCTTTTAACAATGAAATAAATACAATAATGTCCACACACACTTGACGTTTCTGATTGGATTCTAGAATCGGAGTATTGATATTTAGGACCGTTAATTGTCAAAATGTATCTGAATCTGGTGTGGTAAAATTCCGGAGAGTTTCCCAGAGAATCAAAAAATTCTGCTGGACCTCTTAAAGGAAAGTGAAAAGCGACCCAATGCTTGCCTCTTCCTCCGCAACTGTCTGTATTAACTACCCAAAACCTATGTTTCCTGGTGTTGGTTGGCAATTCATCAGCACACGTAACTTTTACGTCATATCTCGACAAATAAGATTTCAATTCAAAGTTGTTCATTTGAATATGATGCTTCGAGATTGGTCGATGTGGAGAACTTGTGGAAACTTTCCATATAAAATTAATGTTACGCTCTCTGGTAATGGAAATGCGAATTTGAGTTCTAGGCGACAATGCCCTTTTCTTCTTGTGTTAAAATCTATGTAGGGATTGATGTCCAATACGTAAAGGGCATTGCCTTTTGGGTATTCTTCACGTTCAACATAAACGTTTTCTCTACCCGAAACTAAGGTTTGGTAAGCTTCCAAGTAAGTATCGGCATTATAGTTGGGTTGTAAAGGTTTGGAGGGAAAAGACTGTCCGTCCACGTAGAAAGCTACAAAATTACAATCAAAATGTTGAAAGTTAAAGGGTGACTTCTTATAACTTCCACTAAAGGCACTGCTAGAAACCAGTCCCAGAATGAGGGTGGAGGGAACTTCTCCCTGAAATACGTCGTCCATGGTAAAACCGAATTCTCCTTTAGCGATGGAAGCTATTTTCAGATTAGAAAATACGTAAGGATATATTGCAGGAGACTTTTCTAGCATTTTGACATGGGCCATGGTCAGGGCAGGATTCGGTCTCTGAATACATAGCTTAAAACTCGCATCGACAATCTGAACTTTGTAATCTAAACCAGACACTGACATCAGTTAAAAGGCATCTTTACTGGGCCACAATTTTAGCGAAAGTGATACTCCGTTTAAAATTAAACGTTCCTGCTGGAAGAGGTCAATCTGCAGGGGGCCTTCCAAATCTAGTATTTTGCCTTCTTGAGTAAATACATAACGTAGGTACAATCCTGAATTCAGGCCCTTGATAGGATCGGCATCGTCGGGATTGTTGGAGTCCTTAATAAAAAGTTGAGGGTATCGCACTCCGTAGTTGTCAGCGGAGGTAGTCAAGAGAGTGTCGATGTAGGCCTTGTAAGGATAGTTTGTGCCCAACTGAGATACAGGGGTTTGCTGTAGACTGGTGTCTACCTGAGCAAATATGGTGTGTAAAGGTAGATTCACCAAACCCACAGCATCTTCTTTCGTGATAGGATTGTTCAAGGAATTCAGTATTCTCAATTTGACTTTTAACCGACTATTTCTAAGATCCATGTAACCCGTAGAGAGTGGTGGTATGTTAAATTCCAAAGCAGAGTACTCTGATATTTGATTGATAGGTCTAAATTCCACCCATTCTCTCGTTTGAATGGTCGTATCGACGGGAGGTGATTCAAAAAGGGAGAGTTGATTTAAATGATTTTCATCCATGACTAATCGTCGAATTGTGTATCGAATTTAGGTTTCTTGGTCCTAGGTTTATTGTTGCGTTTACCAGGCGGGGCTAAGAATCTTTTCCTTCTTATAAATTTATCCTCATTTGGAGAGTTGTCTTGTTCGCGCTCTAATTCGGATCTAGCCATTTCGATGGCTTGTGCTACTGGTGTCACAAGCTTTACGGTGGGTTTATGTTCTTGACTGGGAGGTACTGTTCGGTTATGAGAACCACTTCCTACAATGTAACGCCCCTTGTAGTCCGGTCGAACTCTTCCAGCAGAAATATCTTCAAAATGGCGAACCCATTTATCGATGTTCGGAATGTATGGTACCCATTGCATTTTCTTGTAGTCGTATACTTCTACTGATCCCATAATTTCTTTTTACGCAAACACAGAGTACAATTGAAAAAATTAACTTGAGAATGAAGAACACTCAAGTCTTTGTTTCTTATAAATATTCTTATTTGACTGATTTCCTGTTTAGAAACTGTCATGTAAAAGGGATTTGTGTAGATTATCTGATTAATTCCTCTTTTTAACGTGATGGCTCTCAAAATTGGTAACATCGTATTTTTGACGTAACTATCGCCTATGATGTCACAACATACATACAATTTAGCTGTACTAACATCATCGAGTATATCAATGTTTAATTCTAAAATGGCACATTCCCACGAGTCATCTATCAAGTAAGCTTTTGGCAGCGTCACAAGAAAGTCATCAGAAGTGTTGGAAGGATGGAAAACGGTAGAGTCTCTGCTGTCTATGAAAAGATATACGGCCATTGCTTCTTTTTCGTGTTTTCTCCTTTAGGTTAACCAACTTCTTATAACCTTAGGACTCGCTGTTCCTGATGGATAAAATAAGTATTCTAGCTAAGTAGTAGTCTCTTAGAAGACTGGGAATCAGTGTATGATGCGTCAGTAATGTTCTTTTCTTACGGGACACCGAAACTCTAGAACTTGACAGAGTCCTCATGACTAAGTTGTGTTGACGGAAAAAGCTGCGGTCGTGTGATAGTATGGGTATTGTTCTATCAAGCAGATGTCGTACAACATCACTGAGAGCGGAAATCTGTCGTTGATTAGCTCTCTGTATAATGACACGTTGTCGAATGTAATTCGCATGCCCGAGTTCTCTTAAAAAATCGGCATTTTGCATCACGCGAGATTGCTCCATTTTTGAACAGTTTTAATAGTATAATCTAAGAATTCTTATAATATTTTAGCGACGATCGAGGGATGTAACTATTGAATTTCTTGGGCCATCCATACCATTTAACCAAAGCTTGGTTCCCCTTGTATTTTATTATCTTTTCGATTCTATACAATGTGTCATCTGTGATTGTTACTTTTTGCAACTCTTGTTGGTAAAAACTACCTTTTATGTCTTCTCCATCGATATCCTGTATTTCGTAAATCGGTATACCTTGTTTGATAGAGCGAGATTTCACGACAAAATGCTCTCCACTCCATCGTTCATCGTATTCTCGATCAAACGCTCCTCGCAACCGAGAAATGCGAACCATGTCACCAATTTTAAACTTATATTGTACGTTCTTTACGTGTTTTGAATGCGTAAAATTTGAACTGTCACTGCAAGCATAATCGTAATTCTTCATCCAAATGTAGGGTTCGTTGCTCTTTTTCACTTGGTTTGGAGCCATTTTGATGGAACGATGATAAGTAGAATTATAACTTTCGGTGACTTTAGGTAAGATGTTCACCCATCGATGAGTCTGGTGTTTTGTCATGTATCGACTCAATCGAGATTTTAAAGTTTTTATAACTCTTTCGGCATAGTTTGCTTTCATTTCGTTTTGAGTAAAAAAGTGAGAAATACCTTTCTGTTTCAGTAATTGTTGAACCTCTTTACTGACATATTCAACTCCTTTGTCACTACGCAGTTTTGCAGGAGGTGTAGAGTGTAAAAACACAACTTTTAATGCTTTAGTCATCTCAGAACCCTTCGTAGATTTTAAGGGAACAGTCCAAACAAATTTTGAAAAAACGTCTATAAGTACTAGAAAATAAGCATATCCGTCGTTTTCCTTTCGATAAGAAGTCATGAAGGCTGTGTCTACGTCCCACTGGTATCCAATTCCCGGTACAATAACTTTCGCGCGTTTGAATTTTCTATTGATTTGCTTATGTAGAGTAAAGGTTTCTTGCTTTTGTAACCATTTTTTGATTTTAGATCGACTGAGTACATATTTTCCTTCCTTTCGAACAGCTCGATATAGCTTCTCCAAACCACTAAGGGACCCGGGGTGCTTTGCATCGTAATAGATGGATTTTAAATAGTCTTCGTACGTCATGATTATTGTATAAAATACTTAGAACTAAATAAAACTTTTCTTCTTCTTATAATGAGGTTTCTATTTCTACTATAGTTGGGTACACAATCTCATCTAGATCCTTGACTCGTTTTATGCCAGTAATTAACACGCTCCCACTTAAGTGACATGTAAAATGAATATCATTTCGTCGCTACATTACAGCAGGAAATAATTCAGGATCATAAGAAAATTTTAAGGCGGGAGAAATTGAATTTACATCTAAACGATTAGATAGTTTGTGAAACGCGGAGGCGGTGACAATATGTACGTTAGTAAGTACGACGTCATATCCAATTCGTTGAATGTAGCGAGCATACCTTCTCAGTCGTTTTAGTCCAGTATTAAAACTATCGCATGCTCCGCTGCAATTTATCTTTCCATTGGAAAATATTAAACAGTTCCCTCCTATTTTTCTATGTTGAAAAATAACCCCTGGAAATTTGAGGGGATCGAACCACACGTTAATTAAACGGTATGTTAGTTGTTGAAGATTGATAAGACAGTTCATGTCTCCTTGGTACACGACGTTTGTCAACCTCATTATTCCAGCAAATAAATTAACTATAAATTTTTGAGAAATATATACATACCGTATATATCCTAGCTGAGTCATATGATTAAATAACAATGAAGATTCATAAACGTTTAAATAAACATGTTTATTACATCTGTATGCATAAATATACTTCTTTACATATTTTACCCACAAGCAATATATCTACATTGTTTAAACGTCATTTGTACATGTTCACTTCAGAATCTCGATCATCTTTTTACAAATGATACATAAGCAATAATGATGAATATTAGGTTATGAAAGTCTTTAAAAGCTGTCTTCTTGTTTGCCTCGTCTCTTCTCACCAGTTCACATACTCCAGCGGGTTGCAAGTAGGACATCTAAGCATGCCTAATTGGTTCATATGATCCTCGCGCAAAAAGCAAGGTACGAGCGATTCAAGTTCCGGAACGACTTTTTCTATTTCAGCTACACTTTTTCAGTGTTCTGTACTCCATAGGTCTAAGACATAGTCCCTTTTTTTGTTGGCACGAGTATATCAGTATTTGGGGGTTTCCAATACTGCCGTATGTTCACACACGGATTGTCTTTTTGAACTGAACAGAAAATGTTGGAGCCCATGTGGTAGTGTAGATTTTCGTTATTGTTTAAAGCTGTATCAATCATATCGAGAGCCAGTGTGAATGTTTTAAAAAGGTCCAGCCTTAAACTAATCCCCTTCTTTGTTGCATAGCGATCCGTTTTCCATTCGCGAAGGTCTACTCTTTTTTCGTTGTTTTTCGTAGTGTATATCTCAATGAAGCGATCATTCTCTAAAGATAATTTACAGCAAGAAGAAAACATGTTGTCACCCTGAATGCTAGCGATTAAATGACAAAATACTGGAGACGTTTACGGAAATTAGTAACTTTACAACGTCATATCCGTGTTCAAAATCCGGGTTTGTTTCCTTCATTACCTCATTTTCATCCTAAATTAACATCTGGATAACATCCGTGACCAAGTTTAGAGCATGATTCATCATTGACATATACACCTCAAAAAGACGCTAATACCAAGCGAAGATAAATCCAGTTCCTTTCCTTTCATTATATGATCACTTGCATCATTGGGTTAAAGTAATATTTTGTAAGGAGAGTCATGGTTCCGTTACTTTTCCTAAAGAGCTTTATAGAAAAGATATAAATATAAAATATTTAACGAATGTTCTCGTTTCTCACCACGTATACTTGACCCTCATATTTCGAAGCAAATTCTTTTATCATGAGATGATATTTGAGCCATTTTCCCCCAGCTAGGCCACATCCAATTTTATATGGGAAAGCTATGCTCTCGTAACCTTCTATCGATAGTTCATTCAGACATTGCTTAAACCAGAATTCTCGTTCAAGTGGAAGGTCCTCATAAGGTGGTATTTTGCGGTATTGTGCTGTACGACCCATATCCCACTGACTCAGAAAACACACTACATCTGGTGAACGACCGTTGGGTGAACGCAGAATCTTTACAGTTCCAGGAGTCCCTCTGTCCTCGGGAATAGCAAGGTTGCGCCCTTCTTCTCCTCTTCGCGTTTTGTAAATATCTGCCCATGGAAATTTATGAGCTATATACTTAGAAAGGCCATGAGAACGAATAGCTAAACAATTCACTTGGTGTATGATTGCTTTTACAGGAGTCGTGCAAATGTCTCCAAAGCTATAGACAAGGTGTTCGCTATATCGCGCCCATTCCCACTTCTCTGTGTCTCTTTGTATTTCTTCTCTTAAGTTTATCAAATGGTCAGGTTGTTTATCATCTTTCGAGGTTTGGTTATAAAACTTGTGTCTTGCCTCAGACCACATGTTTAAAATTTCTCCTCTCATTTGTATATGCTAGACATACACGAAACCGTTCTTTTCAAATGATTTTTTATGAATCAAAGCAGTACATATACGTCTTATTTCAATAATGGACACACTTTAGAATCTTTATACATTATTGACATGTTAGTTTTAACCTGTCATTATATTAAAAGAAATATATTCATTGAACTAAACGTATGCGTATTAGCTAATCATCAGTAAAAATCATCCGGGTTTGCTTCCCTATAATTACATATAGTCATTATTAGCATCCGGATTTACTTTATACTTCCGCC